TTGTCATTCTTATCATTATTTTAACCATACTACACCTCTAGAGTAGCAAATTTTCATAGAGTTCTTCTGAGGTTATAGCTTCTTAATCATTCGACATCAGTTTGATTCATCATGTGTTCTTATTTAATTTACGTTCTTGGTTTGCTTGTTAAGAATCTAATCGATCTTAAAGTACTTTTAGTCTCATCAAAAGTAATGAGAATTTCAAATACATGCACTGAAAAGAAAAGTATATCTTTCAGATTTACATGGAAAATTTAAAATATTCACGACTTTTACTTAGTTACTTTTTTGAAGCGGTACAAAACAAAGGATAATATTTAACATATCTAATTAAATATTATCTACATCACAGTATATAACATATGATCGATAACATCTATATGATCTAATATATAGTAAAAATTAACGCACAACATACAACAATTATATTAAAAGAATCCAAAACCAAGAAAAATATATAAATAATTAGGATATAACAAACTTACAAATTAAAAGCTATAACATAATAATATATCTCGAAAAGTGGTCATAAGACCTCAAACCAATGAAAAAACCTTTAAGCTTGTTTCTTTATGAAGTTTGTATGTAATTTGTATACATGTATTCCCAAAAGATTGATCCTTTTACAGTAAATGTACTTATAAAAGTATTTTTTCTTTCACCACATTCATTTGAAACTCCCATTCATTTTTACTTTCACCACATTCATTTGAAACTCCAATGACTTTTCAATTCCTTTCTAATAATAATTATAAGTTGGTTAATAAGGTTAAATAAATATCAAACCTAAAGTGTAATCATCTATAAACTAAATTTCAATATTAAAATAATATTTTTCTTCTACTTATAAAGTTATGTTTTTTACCTTTTAACATATTATACTTAATTTATTAGTTTTAATATATTGTTGGATATAAATCATTGTCATTTTAAAGATACAATTTTGGAGGAATATGTATAAAATACTTAAATTATTAACTTAAATATATATTTTAGTTTAAATTAAACAACCTAAAAAATATTTTGTAAATAGTTAAACGCAATAAGTTGTAGTGTCTTTTTAATAATGATTATAAGTTGGTTAATGATGTTAAATAAATGTCAAACCCAAAATGTAATCATAAATAAACTAAATTTCAGTTTTAAAATAATATATTTACTTCTACTTATAAAGTTATGTCTTTAACGTTTAATATATTATACTTAATGTATTAGATTTAAAATGTTGTTGTATGTAAACTATTATCAATTTAAAGCTACAGATTATTTACTTCTACTTATAATGTTATTTCTTTCACGTTTAACATATTATACTTAATGTATTAGATTTAAAATGTTGTTATATGTAAACCATTATCAATTTAAAGCTACAAATTTTGAACAATATATATAGAATACTTAAATTGTTAATTTAAATATAACATTATAGTGTCAACTTAAATAAAAAATTTAATTCCTCTTAAAAAATGAAAGAATATTTTGTAAATAATTAGATAAATTGTAATGATAAATACAAAAACTAAATTGTAATCTCAATTTAACAAAAATATTTCCTAAAGATATTTTTATAATCGTTAAAAGTTTCTAAATAAGTAACTTACAATAACTATAGTTAAAAATAACTCTATATAAATGATTATATCGTTATCTTTTAAAAAAAATGTTTGATGTTTTAAATAACTATAACGATAGAAATTAAAACATTAAGCAAATAAATTTTAAAAAACTTAATTAACAATTACAACAACTATAAATAACATTAAACCATATATTATATTTAATTTTCTTCATGTGTACCTCGAGGGTAGAAGTCATTCAAACGATTAAGATTATGAAGTTATAATAGATGTATATAGTATATATATTATCATACAATTCAAAAAAATCAATATATTATATCAATTTAGTATAAAAATTATTATATAAAATTTAACAACAACGTTATTGTTATATTTAAAAAAAAAACATATATTTCTAAAGACTTCAATTATATAGTTGTATTTCTACGCAACGTTCGGTCATTCTCCTAATCATCATACATACTTATAAAGTTAGTATTTTTTCTTAAATCTCATGCATTTGAAACCCCATTTTTTTAACTAATGCAACTCAAAAGTTTTCTTAATTATGATTTAACACTCAAAAGTTTTATAACTTATATTATGTTTAATTAGCATTTAGTGAAAAGTTTACTATAAAAAAGTCAATTTTTTGGGAATACATGCATACAAATTGTATACAAATTTCAGAAAGAAAACAAACCTAGAGCTTTTTGTGTTGGTTTGAGGTCTTATGACCACTTTTGGAGATATGATATTATATTAGAGTTTTTAATTTGTAAGGTTGTTATACTAATTCATTTTTGGATTATTGTAATACAGTCGTTGTATATTGTGATTTAATCGTTAAATATTGGTCATATGTTATATAGGGTGATGTCGAAAATATTTAGATAAATATTTTAAATATATTTTTTTTGTTTTGTAATTGTACCGTTTCAAAAAGATAATTAATTAAAACTCATACATATATTATGCTTTCCATCTCTCTCTATCTCTCTTTCTCTATATGTATATGTATGTGTGTGTATATATATATATATACACACACACACACACACATTATAATAGAGGTCAAAACACTTCAACCAAAATTCATTTAAAATCTAATATTTCAAATGATTTTTAATAATGATTCTAAAAATTTCAACATGTGCTACTTAATTGATTGATTAATAAAAATATTAATGTTTTGAAACTTCCAACTCTTAAACTTACATTATTTAATTTGTTAGTTAACTAAAATAATTTTCCTACATAAAGATAACATTTTTATGTTTGGTTACTCATATTTGTTTATGTAATTAGAAACCAATGTGTACATAGAATGACTAAATCAATTTCACATAGGAATTGATACCACTATAGAGGTATGTTGTCTTTAACCGGTGGTAGGAGATCCACAAACCCTTTTTAATTATTTATATTAATGCTTAGTAATATCTATTTTATATTTCTATTCACCTTAATTTTTTAGGTAAAAATTAAGGAATAGGATTCTCGGCGCACTAACATAAAGTCAAACGTATACATTGCAAAATATGTAATTAAAATTAAATATCATATTTATTAATCGACTTATTTTAAAACTGTTGATGAAATTTTTGTATAATGATATATTTTGTATGACTTCATTCTTAATTTCAATGTTTAATATTTGAAAGTTCATATATGACACCTTTGATGTTTTGGTGTAATATAAATAGTGTAATACAAAGTTTATTAGTTCAATGTTGTTTATTAATAGCTCATTCAAAACAACTTATTTCTTATTTTATTCAAAAAATATTATCGGACATAAGAAAAGTAGATTATATTAATGTTATACAAAAACTTATAATATATATTGAATATTATAAAAATAAATAAAAAATGTTTATAAGGTATATACTATATTAGATAGTATCAAAATATAAGTTGATAGATTTTTATGTTATTTGATAATTCGGTTACTGCCTAAATCATGACTAAAAACAGAAATTTCAACATATTTCAATCTTTTCCCATAATTATTTTAACAAGTTAAATGCATTCTTGCGCAATGCGTGAGGTTACACATAGTATATTTATAAAAGAGACATTTTTCTATTAATTATTATAAGTTGGTTAATAATGTTTAATTAATATAAAAACTAAATTTTAATCATAAATGAACAAAACTACAATATTAAAATATTATATTTTACTTATATTTATTAAATTATAACTTCAACTTTTTAATATATTATAGTTAACTTATTAGTTTAAATATGTTGTCGTATGTGAGCAATTATCATTTTAAGATCACAAATTTGTATCATTTATGATTTTATGCAAAATAGTTAAATTATTAATTTTAATATAATATTAAACGGTTATCTTTAATCAAAATTTTAGTTAAACTTAAAAAATAACGAAGATACTAATTTATAAGTAGTTAAAAGTTATAAATTATAGTGTTAAACCTAAATTGTAATCCTAAATTAACAATATATATATATATATATATATATATATATATATATATATATATATATATATATATATATATATATATATAACTATTTTTTATAATCATTAAGAATTTACAAATATAGCTTAAAAATAACTTATAATAAGAATACTTAAAAGAAATACTATATAAAAAATTAAAATGTTATCTTAAAAAAACAATGTTTTTAATTTTAAATAATTACAAATAAAAGAAACTAATAATATTCATCAAATAAATTTTAAAAATGCTAAAGTGCTACTTGATCAAAAAATTAAAACTTAGGTATAAATTGGAAGCGAGATATTGAGGCACCGGCGATTTTGGCCCCAATAACACCTTCGATCATCAATCAGGAACATGCATGGATATCACAGGGTTCATCGTACCAGTTATGATCCAAGAAAAAGTCACATAAGTTATGATGTAATCTCTTTATTGATCACCAATTTTTCGGTCTCTGTTCAAATTGGAGACATTTAGAGGGTCTGTGGTCGAGCGTGTAATCGACTAGGGCACATAGTTGGTGTGTTTATTGCTAAAAAGCTATCAAAATTGGGGAAAATATTTGGTTTTATTAGGTTTTCTATAGTTCTTGGTTGTGACTCCCTGGTCATTTAACTTCGTGAAGTTTGGTTTGCTCTTATAAATTGTTTGCATCCGTCCCTCGTTGACTAGCAAATGATGGTCGAAATTCTCAACCCATTATTTTCTCCACAGCAGTGCAAAGTGATGACAGGGTAAAATCTTATGCTAATGTGGTCCGAGGTTCACTCCATGATACGAAAAACAGTAAGAACACAAAAGAAATAATTGAACTCACTCCTGGGGACTTCATAGTTGAGAAAAAACAGACAACATGCCTTATTAAGGCGAGAGACTTCTCCACACTTCTGAATCTCCAGGTGCTATGCATGGACGAGGGATTTGATTCTTTTGAAATTGGATATGTTGGAGGTTTGTAGGTGATGATTGAGTTTACTTCCAAAACTACTTGTAAATTTTTTTTAAGTAGCACATCAATAGATCATTGGATTGCAGAGAAAAAACCATGGGATCGAAAGTTTGTTCCCTCAGAACATTTAGTATGGGTTGATGTTGAAGGACTTCCTATTTTCGCTTGGAGCAAAGATTTATTCAGAAAAATTCTCTCTAGATGGGGAATAATTGCCCAGCTTCATGATGATCTGGGAGAAGATATCTACAAGAACAGGATCTGCATTCTAACTTCTATCAAAACTATAATTTTAGAGGTAATCAAAGTTTGTGTTGATAAGATTATATATTGGATAAGAGTAAAAGAAGCTCCTGGGTGGACTCCCTCCTTTGTTCATGATTTTCCTGCTCCAAAACTAGATAACAGTAATATACAAAGCAGTGAACACAATGATAAACATCTTCAATATGCCGAGAGGAATGAAGAAGTATCATCAGACCTGTTCAGAATTTATGATGCTACTAAAAAGATGAAAGTAGACGAAGCCAATAATGATATTCAAAAAGGTTATAATAGTTGGGGTAATTTTAAAAAATAAAAGCAAGAAAGAGGGGCTGCATGGGCAATATAGGAATTCAACAACAGAAAATGTCCATTACCATTATACCGCCAATTGTTGTGCCTCCAGCTCACCTGTTACATCGCAAATAAATTCTTCTGCTGCCCCTGGAACGGATGCCACTTGCCCAGCTGTCATCGATAATGCTCAAGTCTCGCCTGAAGTTGCTGCTCCTGTTGTCAATCCGCAAACATCCCATGCTGTTTTTCCCAACATCACAACAGCTCCTGCTGTGAATTCCGAGACCAATTCAGTTCACAGTGTTCACTCCGGGTCACAAAAAAATGAAATAGGAACTTTACATAAGCAAGCTCCTGTTGGTTTTTCCGGAGGATTTATTCGTATGTCAGGCATTCCATCTATGGATGATTCCTTATGTGACATCCCCATTTTCACGGCTAGAAAAGACCGATTTTTGTTTATGTTTTATAAAAATCAGAGTACTTCTTTTAATAAAAATGTTGCGGAATTTGTTCCCAGAAAAACATGATAAATACGTTTTTAAAACATTTTTGAAGAAACGTATTTTGTTCATTTTAAAACATTTAGGATGTCATCGTTAATACAGAAACATAAGCATAAACAGAACTTACATTTATTTACACTAGTGATCTACATCTCTTTAAATCTCTCAGTGTAATGTGACTTCATATCAACACCTGTGATATAAATAAACTGAGTGGGTCAGGTTGGGAAACCTGGTGAGTACATAGGGTTTTCAACCCACAATAATATAATTATTATTTTCAAACAATCAAACAATCAACCCAATTACCCATCCCTATTATCTGCTTTATTCTTAAGGATCTACCCTAAGAATCAACTATTCCTCGTTCATACATTCCAAAGGATCATCCTAAGGAATCGGCACGAAGTCCATCGTCACCGGGGTTTAGGCACTAAGTCTGCATAGTCGCCAGAATTTATACAATAGGCACTAAGTCTGCATAGTCGCCAAGGTTTTGGCACCAAGTCTGCATGATCGCCAAGGTCTAGGTATCAAGTCTGCATGATCACCAAGGTTTAGAGTACACCGGGTGAACACATCGTTCACAACACCTACAGGTTGCGAGCCTGATAGTGTTCCACTGGACTATCTAGGATAGTTCGTGGTTGTCATCCATACTCTGCTGAATGACGGGGACATCGTTTGGGAAAAAGGCTTCTCACATCGTACACTTCTCACCCACACCTTATAGTCTATATCATCTCTCAACTCATCATCCAACTCATATTTCATCTATTATATCTACCCATGTTTTACCCCAACATTTTCGTAGATATAAAACACATATATAGTTTAAATCATTTAAAACATGTATAAAATCTTTCACTCAGCATAGATAGCAAGTATTCAGACAATATGCACACATAGCACGTAATTTATATTAAAATACTTCATATCTATGTGTAAGATGAAAGTAACTATGCACTCACCTGAAAAGGTGGTGACTCGGTACTCGGACAACGCTTCGTTTACTTTAAAATAATTTCCTTTGACGAAACCTAGTATTATCACCACTAGATTTTAGTCTAATATTACCGTGCCTAATTATTAGTCTTATTATTATTATTATTATTATTATTATTATTATTATTATTATTATTATTATTATATAAGCGTTTAAACAATACTTTCCAACTACTATGTACAGACAGGGGCCAGACATAAAACACCGGAGGGCAGGACCATTTTGGCGTATAGCACTTCTGAAATCCAACAACCCTATGCGGCCCTTTAAACCAGATTCCCCGTACCGCGAGTAATTAAAAGATATTATAACGACACTTATATAAGTCATAATAATAGCTCAAATATTTATTATAAATTTATAATAACAATACTAATTTTAAATATAAACTATATTTAAAATAGGGTAAGCATAACTTACTTTCAAGGGGATTTTAGCTAGGAGTCGGGCTCTGCAGGGGCAGAACTTCGTCGCTAAATCTTTCTAAGAAAGATTCGTGCAGCGCTTCAGCGCTCACCTTACTATACTAAAACTACAGAAAGAGAAGTCGAATCACGAGGGACCGAAATGCTCGGGGGATAAGGAGAGAAAGACTCTTGAATCAAGAGAATGGTGCAAGAAATATGAGAGCCCAAGGCTCTTATTTATACTAATTGAATTTTCAAAAACTACCCTCCATAATTACTTAATGACCTTTTAGTTATATAAACAACTAAACACCCCTCTATAATACTATTTTAAATGGATTTAATGATATATGTACTAAACTAATGTCGAAAGAACTCAACATTAGTCTTATAATGACCGCATCATTGATACCTTTCTAATGATATATACATATGCATATATATATATATACGTACGTATACATGATTTATACTTTATTTTAATACGTAAATATGCTATTATAATTTGTAACTCGTTCATACGAACTCCGTTTTTGACGTTCTTTATATCCACGCGTAGTTGGAGACGTACTCCACAACTTTCGTTTAGACTCCGTCGGCTAATTTTGACTTTATTTTTAAAGTTATATTTTTAACAGGCCGGGACAGGATTGGTCCGTTAAAATCTCATAACTTCTTTATCCGATGTCCATTTTCGTCTGTATTTTTATCGTTATGCTACTAATAACGAGATCTTCGATTCTTGTTTAGGTTGTGTCGGCTAAAAATTAATCGATCTAAAATTCGAATTTCGGGTTGTACACCGCTAATCCGAAACTTCGAAAAATCATAACTTTTTTCATACAAAGTCAGATTTGGGCGTTCTTTTTATCGATGTTCTTAGTTTAACATATTCTACGACTTTCGTTTAGAGCGCTAAGGCTAAATCTCTCTCTATCATAAATTTACTATTTTACGCTTCCCGGCGCCGTGTCGGTTCCGACGCAAAACTTCGACGGGTCATAACTTCTTCGTTATAACGCGGATTTCGGCGTTCTTTATATGTACGGAAACCTTGTGACATATTCTACAACTTGGTTAAGATTATTTATTCTAAATAATCTTTTTGTAGAAAAGTCGTTTTCGACCCCTATTGCCTCTAAATTGATTAGCCCGGATCTGCAGTCGTTACACCTTATCCCATCATCCTGGTTTTTCTAACATTATCCATGGTGAGAATGAAGTGTTCCCAGAAGGCTCCTTTAAAATCGATTCAGGTGAGGTTAAATCTAAAAAAACGATTGAAGTGGGAGAAAATATTGGTTTTAATATGAATAGCTGTTCGGAACACGTTAAAAACACTATTCAAGAGGACCGAGTTAGAAAAATCATTTAGAAATGAATTGTGTTTCCATTAACATTCAACGAGTGAGTTCTGTAAAGAAACGGGCGTGGATTAAATCTCTATTTGTCAAATTTAAAGTCAGTTTTTTTGGCTATTCAAGAAACGAAAAAAGAGTCAATTGACCTCTCTCTTGCTCGATCTTTTTGGGGTAACCTTGCTTTTTCGCACTCTTTCTCCCCTCTCGCGGTGCCTCGGGTGGTATTTTGGTTATCTGGGACTCGAATACCTTTATTCATAACAAAGTTATTATCTCTGATTGGTATGTAGCGGTGGAAGGAATTTGGGTTGTTTCTAAAATGGATGTGTTACTAATTTCCGTTTATGCTCCCCAAAGTGTTGACAGTAAAAGAAAACTTTGGGATGAAATCTCTAACTTGATCTCTTCATTTTCTGGAGAATGTGTGGTTATGGGAGATTTTAATGAAGTCAGATATGAATATGAGAGGTTTGGTTCTCAATTCCACCATATCCCAGCAAGAATTTTTAACCAGTTTATCGAGCAGAATGATTTAATGGATATTCCTATGGGTGGGCCTCGTTATACATGGAGCAATAAATGGGGATCTAAGTTCTCTAAACTTGATCATTTTTTGGTCTCTGATGGTATTATGCTGCATTTTCCTCACATTATGGGATTGGTTCTGGATAAAAATATCCCTAATCATCATCCTATTGTATTACTAGAGCATCGGGTGGATTACGGTCCATTACCTTTTCGTATTTTTCATTTTTGGTTTGAGCAGGACGGTTTTGATGAAGTTGTCCATAATTCTTGGACCTCCAATGTTGTTGGGAACTTGAATGATAATCCTTGGGTTATTTTTAAGAAGAAGCTCCAATTTCTTAAATCTAATCAAAGATTATGGAATTTTAGTGCTCGTGAACGTTTCATTAGTAAAAGGAAAACTCTTCAAGATAAAGTTGAAGAGATTAATGATTCTCTTATGCTTGATGGGGGTAGTGCTGATCTTCGTGAACAAAGGGTTTCGGCTATTAAAGAATTGACTGACTTGGATCATCTTTCTAGAGTCGAGTTGGTGCAGAAAGCGAAGATCCAGTGGGCCATAGAAGGGGATGAGAATTCTAGTTTTTTTCATGGCGTTATTAATCGGAAGAGGCGACAACTTGCTATTAGAGGTATCAAGATTGAAGGTCTTTGGGAGGACGATCCTGTTAGAGTTAAAACGGAATTCCATAACTATTATAAAACTCTTTTCTCGAGTAAAAAAAGGAAGACGCCCTTCTATTGATCCTAACTTGTTTCATACTCTTACGAAAGATCAAGTTCTTTTTCTTCAAGTTCCTTTTTCTCGTGATGCCATTAGAAGGGCTGTTTGGGATTGTGGCTCAGATCGGGCTCCTGTGCCAGATGGTTTCTCTTTTGGTTTCTTGAAAAGATATTGGGATCTTATCTCTGATGATTTGGTTGCTTTTAGTCAACATTTTCATAGTCATTGCTCGGTTCCTAAAGGATGTAATGCCTCTTTCTTTAAAGTTATCCAAAAAGTTCGTGACCCAAAAAATATTAGAGACTTTAGACCTATTAGTCTAATAGGGTGCCACTATAAAATTATTGGTAAACTTTTAGCTAATAGGTTGGCAGAGGTTATTGGTTCTGTTATTAGTCTGGAGCATTCTGCTTTTGTTAAAGGCAGACAAATTTTAGATGACCCTTTTCTTCTCATTGAGTTGGTTGCTTGGAACAAGTCTACGAATAATCCTCATATGATTTTTAAAGATGATTTTGAGAAGGATTTTGACTTGGTCTCGTGGGATTACCTATTGGAGATTATGCGGATTATGGGATTTGGTAAGTTGTGGTGTGCATGGATCATGGAGCTTCTCCGGTCTGCTTGGGCTTCTGTTCTTGTTACGGGTCCCCTACTAATGAATTTCAAATCCAAAGAGGTCTACAACAAGGAGACCCACTGTCACCTTTTTTATTCATCCAGGTTATGGAAGGTCTTCATGTTGTTTTACGGAAAGCTCATAATGCTAGCATGTTTCGAGGTATTTCTATCAGTGGGATCGATATCTCTCACTTGTGTTTATGTTAATGATGCTGTCTTGATGTCTACTTGTAACCCAGATAATGTTTCTCGTATCATTCGTATCATGAGATGCTTTTACTTAGCTTCGGGTCTAAAAATCAATTTACAAAAAAGTAAATTGATTGGAGTGGGAGTTCCT